CTCTTTTAAGATTTTATTTATTTATTTGAGACAGAGTGCACATATGAGTACAGGGCGGGGCACAGGGAGAGAGGGAGAGAGAGAAGCAGACTCACTGCAGAGCAGGGGGCTGAACACGGGGCTCAATCCCAGGACCCTACCCTGAGATCATGACTTGAGCTGAAGGCAGACGCTTAAATGACTGAGCCATCCAGGTGCCCCTTGTTTCTTTCTACCATTTTTAGGTTAAAGTGTTTTGTATTATACAAGTATAGCTACTTCTACTTTTTGTGGTTCCCATTTACTCGAAATATTCTTTTTCATCCACACACTCTGAGTCTCTGTGTGTTAAAGGCTAATGTGAGTCTCTTGTAGGCAGCATGTAGTTAGAGCTCTCTTTTTTTTTAAATCCATTCACGTATTCTTTTGATTGAAGAATTTAATGTGTTTACATTTAAAATAATTATTGATAAGAATGTACCTTCTATTTTGTTATTTGTTTTCTTTATGGTTTTGTAGATCTATTGTTTCTTATATCTTTACCTTCTGTCTTTTTGTGTGTGTTTTTGATGTCTTATGGTTTCAATATGCTTTGACTTCATCATGTTCTTTTGTATAATTACTACAGGTTTTTCCCTTGTGGTTACCATGAGGCTTAAGTAAAATATCTTAAAATTGTAACACTCTATTTTAAACCAATACCAACTTAACTTCAATAGAATTCCTAAGCTTTATACTTACACTTCTCCTCCCTTTCACATTTTAGGTTATTGATGTTTTAGTTCACATGTTTTTATATTGTGTAACTAATAACAGATGATTGTAGTTTGAGTCATTTTTACTCCATTTTTTAACTTTAAAACTAGAGTTGTAAGTGAATTAAGCATCATCCTTACCATCCAATTTTGATCATATACTTTACCATCAACAGTGACTTTTATATTGCCTTCTTATGTTTTTATGATGTCAGCTAAGTATTATTTTATTTCTACTCAATGAACTCTGTTTAGCATTTCTTGTAATGCAGGTCTAATGGAGATGAATTCCCTCAACTTTGGTTTGATCAGGAAAATCTTAATCTCCCCGTTTCTGAAGAACCCCTTCACCTGGTATATTATGCTTGGCTGACAGTTTTCTTTTTCTTTCAATATTTTGAATATGCCAACCCATTATCTTGTTGCCTGAAAAGTTTCTGTTGAAAAATGCACTAATTATCTTATGGGCTTTCCTTGTAAGTAACTTCTTTCTTTTCTTTTGCTGTTTCTCAAATTCTTATTCTATCTTTGACTTTTGACAATTTACTTGTGGTGTGTCTCAGTATAGCCCTATTTGAGATCATCTGGGCATCTTTGATCTGGATCTCAATTTTCTGTCCAGGTTTGGGAAATTTTCAGTGATTATTGTTTTAAATACACTTTCTGCCCCTTTCTCCCCTTTTATCCTCCTTCTGGAATTCCCATAATGTGAATATTGTTTCTTTCCATTCTGTCCCATAAGTCCTTTAGGCTTTATTACTTCTTTTTCATTCCTTATTCTTTTTTATCCTCTGAATAGTTTCAAATGCTGCATCTGCCAGGTCGCTGATTTTTTTTTTTTTTCCCTTCTGCATAGCCAAGACTGCTTTGGATGCTCTGTATGGAATTCTTCAGTTGAGTTACTATATGCTTTCTGTATGGAATTCTTCAGTTGAGTTACTATATGCTTTAACTCTAGGATTTTTTTTTTCAATTTATTTTTTAAAAGGTTTTATTTGACAGAGCACAAACAGGGGAAATGGCAGAGGGAGAGGGTGAGGGAGAAGCAGGCTCCACGCTGAGCAGGGAACCCGATGCAGGGCTTGATCCCAAGACCCTGGGATCATGACCTGAGCCAAAGGCAGATGCTTAATCAACTGAGCCACCCAGGTGTCCCTGGTTTTTTTTTTTTTTAATCGTTGCTTCTTTGTTGAACTTTTGAACTTCTTGTCTTGTTCTTGCATTGCTTTCCTAATTTTGTTGTCTATGCATTCTTGTAGTTCACTAAACCTAAAATTATTCTGAATTCTCTGACCATTCATAGATTTCCATTTCTTTAGCATCAGTTATTAGAGCTTTATTAGTTCCCTTTGGAACTGCCGTTGATGGGTTCCCTTTGCTGATTGTTCATGATCCTCGATTCCTTATGTTGGTCTGTACACATTCGAGTAAGTGTTCTCTTCGAGACTTTGCAGTTTCGCTCTGGGGGAGACAGTTCCTCCGCAATCAGCTCAGTTTTGGTGTTTTGGCTGTGTCTGCTGGTAGTGTCTTTGGGCACGTGGGTCCTGCTCTTAGGGTCTATTTTAGACCTATTTAGACCTTAGAACTGTTTGAGTTCTAAGGCCGGTGGTTGGGGGATGGGGTGTGTGGACCACTACTGAGAAGAGCTGGATAGGACAGCTGGCTTGCTTTCTTACCCAAGTGAAGCTGTAGGATGGGCTGGATTCTCAGGTCAGGCTTATTAGGCAGGACTGGCTGCTATCCTCAGCAGGAGGTAGAGCTATGACAGCTTCTCAGCTCTGGTGAGGGCAGGGTGCAGGATGAAACCCAGGGCCTGCACAGCTCACTGTTCGTGGACCTGAATGAGGCAAGAGTAGGCACTGAATGTCACGGACATGTGATGCTGCCAGTTTTGCTCTGCAGACAGGAAGAGTCATGGGCCCTGCCCTCTGTTCAAGTGCCACTCTAAGCAGGGTTGTCACATAGGCCACCCAGCATCCCTTGTGCTGTGGGAAGACACCCTGGTCGGGCAGTCGGGAAGCCGTACTCAGCAATCAGGTGAAGAATGAGTGGGTGGTGCCTTGGTTTCCCTGTTGGGTTCAGTGGGAGCAGCAGCTGCAAGGTTGCTAATGCTCTTCATTTTTGGTCTTGACTCCAGTCAAGCCAAGCTTCAAGTTCATGTCAGAATAGGACTACTGTGTTCACTGCCCACCTACCTCCCAGCTTGGGAGTGGTCAGGTTAGGTAGTGCCCTGGTGTTCTTACCAATCCTCCCTGTCAGAGGGAGGCGGGTAGAAGCCATATTCCACAGCCGGTGGGGCCATGACTCTTGCTCCTGTCTTGGCAGGACTGGAAGGGTTCACTTATGGCAACTCGCAGATTTGCCCAAAGAGGCTCCCTGGTCAGGAGTGGCTATGAGTCTTGATCCATCATGGGTAGGGCAGTGAGTGAATTGTGCTGCCTGGGCATAGCCCAGAAAACCTCCAGGGTCGGGGGGAGAGCAAGAGCAAACAAAGATGGTGTCCCCTGGCCAATGTTCCCTGAGCATCTCTGCAGGCCTCTAGATGTGCACCAAGCCTGAAGTCCACCTGTTTGGCCAAAGATCCAGGACAAAGAGGCCTCTTTCACAGCCATACCAGGGTTGTGCCTCGGTTGGCTGTCCAGTGCCCTGGGGGTGGGAGCCTGCCAGGAACTCTGACTGTTACCATCCCATAGGACCCAGGAATGCAGGCCCTTCCAGCCACCAGAGCCAGGCCATCACGGGGCATTTTGTGAGTGGCAGCCACAAAAATCCAGGCACCAGACATTAAAAACTGGGGCGCCAGTTTTTACACAGCTCCCCTCTGGTAGATGCTGTTGCTCTGGAGTGTGGACAAGGGAGAGCATGAAGGGACGGGGTCTGCCGTCCAAGGGAAGGGTTGCAGGCTGTCCTTTGAGGTGTATTTAATGAGAGGCAGCTGTGCTGATAAGCTCACAGGCCTCTTTCACATATGACTGAGCTACTGGGTTGGCACCCCTTGCTGTGCCCTGAGGTGGTAGCTAGTGAGGAACCCTCTGTCTTTTGGTTCTGGCCTGGAGGACCGCTAGCCGAAGCCCCACTAGACACCACAGTTGGGTGATAGGGATGGGTTCCCTGGCGGCAGCCATAAAAATCAAGTTACCAGACAAAGAAATAAGCTCCTTTCTGGAAGATAACAGTGAGGTGGAATGAGGCAGACCTAGAGCCCAAAGATGGCATCCCCTAGTCACCACTCCCTGAGGGCACCTCTGGAGGCCCCTAGACGCATGCTAATCTGGAAGCCTGCCCCTCAGGCCAAACCTCCTGGACAAGCAGGCAGGTCCCATTCTCAGAAAGGATGCTGATAGGGGTGCCTGGGTGGCGGGCGGGGCTCAGTCGGTTCAGTGACTGCCTAAAGGTTCAGGTCATGGTCCTGAGGTCCCGGGATCGAGTCCCATGTCGGGGTCCCTGCTTGGCAGAGGAGGCTGCTTCTCCTTCTCCCTCTGCTCCTCCCCCCACCCCGCCACTGACTTGTGCGCATGCTCGCTCGCGCGCGCGCTCTCTCTCAAAGAAAATCTCAAAAGAAAAAGACTGCTGGTGTATTTCAGTCTTCCTCTCTGCTGTGTTGTAGGAGTTGTACTTCTCCAATAACTCTGTCTCCAATTTTTATGGTCCCTTGGGACCCAAAAATGCAAGCCCTCTCCCCCCTATGCCAAAGCCTCTAGTGTCAGGCTCTCAAAGGGTGTCCTATGGGCAACAGGCATAATAGGTCACCAGATGTCAAAACTAGGGCACCAGACAAAGACTGAAGCCTTTTATTACTGTGTCTTTTCTTACTGTGTTTGGGTGTGAGGAGCTTGGGACGAGGGAGTTGGGGAGAAGCAAGGTCAGATAAGGGGACTCTGGCAATACTCTTCTGTCCTTGAAAACAAATTTGAATTCTCTGGGGGGTGGGTTTGGACACCTTCTAGGATCTTCAGCTCATGCAAAGTCTCACCCCCCCGCTTCTGGAAATACACAGACTGCCAACTTGCTTAGGTTTTCAAAATCTGATTGCTAAGCCAACTCTGAGTGGTTTCTCTACAAGGGTATTTAGGTTTTATAACCACTGGTTGAACCCCAATTTCTCCACTGTTTTCAAGAATATTTGGAGCAAGCAAATAAACTACCCAGAGCGGAACACTGCTGTTGCTGGCACTCTGCAGTTTGACCTGGAAGTCTTTCTTCATGCTCACACTTCTCCCTTTGTTGTTGCGTTTTTGTTTTTGTTTTTGTTTTTGTTTTTTTTAGCAAGCACAGTGTAGCCTGGATCTTCGACACATCACAGTGGTGGAGCTTGTAGGTGTGTTCCCGACCCTCATCGGCAGGATAGGAGCAAAGATCATGCCTCCAGCCCTAGCCCTGCAGCTCAGGTAGGTGGAAGTCCTGGCCTTAAATTGTATCCTTACAATGTACTTTTTTGGGGATCATGTTCCCTGATTTCTTGCTACTCAGTATTAATTCCACGTAACCTTCAATGTTGAGTTGCTTGTAGTCTGAGAGTTCTAGGACCATGCAAACTGGCATGGTGCTGCACATGCGTATTTATCAGGTGGTGGATAATTTCCTGTGTTATCTTCTTCCCCCTTTAACCAAGGGGCTATGCTTTGTCTTTGCTTTGTCTGTCTTTCTGCTGGGTGGGGTTAGCGTGGGTAGGGAAAAGGCTATGAAAAGGACCTACGCAATCCTTCATGCTGTTAGGAGAGCAGGCATCCAGTTAGCCTTTCCAGGCTTGGCCTCTTTTACCTCCATGCTTCCAGGGTACTTGTCAATACCCCCATTTTAACAACTATATTTTCCTTTGGTAACACTTAACAAAGCTAGAATCATGGTGCTCAGGCTCAGAGTCGTGGTGCCTTCGAAAAGCAGAACTCAATAGCCAAAAGGTAATTTCAGAACAATCCCAAATATTTACTTGCCTCTCTTGACCACTGTGAAAAGGATAATTAGGCTAAAGCAAAACTGCTCAAAATCTTCCTTTCTCACCCATCCTTTTTCTCCCACAGTGCAAGGGGGGCTATGTATTCATAGTCCATAGTCACTACTCTTCAAAGTCTTTCAGGGTCCCAGGCTGGTGGTGGTCCCACCATCCTGTAGAGTCAACATTTAAAACACAGGAATTCCAGGTTTCTGCAAAGGGGTTGGGAGAGAGGACAACAAACCCTACCCCTCTTTCATGCTTCCTGTTGGAAGCATAAGATTATTCTCTCCAAGTCCATTGGCTAGAATCCATCCCATGATTGCAACCGAACTTCAAGGCAGGCTAGACAATGCAGCCTTTCCATATTCCCAGAAGAAGATAATGAAAGAGGACTTGAGCCCCATCTCAGATGTTCCAAGAGATTCACAGAGATCCCTTGGGAGAGTGTAGGATAGAAATATGTCCTTAGCCAGTGATGTCATAGAATGACACAATAGATTCTTTAACGTGTCTGTTTTCCATCTGCCTTTTGGCAACCCCCCTCCATTTTTGATTTCTCTCTCTCCCCCCAGAAAGAGCACCCCATCCATACTAAGATCAAAAACTCAGAGAGCAAAGGAGGGAAGAAGAAATGAAGATACCTGAATTATCTTTAGTTGGCTGAAAGAGGGAGAAGGCGGGGTATACTCAGAACCTTTGGGATATACTTTTTTTTTTTTTTTTGGTCCTGCTGCATTGGCTAACACCTCTCCAGAGGTGACACTTATGAGGTCACCCCAAGATCCCCTCAACATTTGCTACCCAGTACCTAGCACAGTGCTTGGAACCCTGTTGGAGCTAAGTAACTAGAGGAAATGACTCGAAACTAAGACAAAGTTAAAATTACTATTTCCAGGGGTGAGAATAGCTTCTCAGAGGGTACTTGGAGTTCTCTTTCAAGTTGAAAACCGTAAACCTAGGGAGACAACTATGTTGACATCTGAAAATGTATAACAAAAATTTCCAAAGTGTGTGTTGGAAGCTGTTGGTAATTTAGAACTACTGGCTCACATCCTGTACTCATGATTTTTTTACAAACCTGTCACAGAATCTGCTAGATGTTACTGTGGATTGCAGATATATATAGAGAGGGAATCTGGGTAAAATTCTGATGTGATTTTAAACGACTGGAATTTGAAGAACAGAAAAATCTGATTTAAGTCGTAGATGTTGGGATGACTCTAGAGCTCTGCGGGCTGGGGACGGCCAAAGCAACAAGAAAGTGCATACATGAATTATGTAGTGCTTCTCAAATTGGAGCAGCCTCCAAATCACTTGGAACACTGCTAAAACATAGAATGGGGCCCCATGCCCACAGTCTTTGCTTCAGTAGGTCTAGGATGGGGACTGAGGATTGGCACTTTGAGCGTGTTCCCAAGCGTGGCCGAAGCCGCTGGTCTGGGGCTCACATCGTGAGAACCACAGGCCTCATGGCTTCACAACTTTGAAGTGGAAATTTTGCAAAGCAGCCTATAAAAAGAGGGTTAATCATGACTGGGGAGCCAGAAGATAGTCCAGGTAGATGTCATGCAGAGAGGATCTGTCACAGGTATTACCTAATGGAGTCAGTGTCAGGACACATGTTCCCTTTATCAGATCTGGAATAAGGGACTTGGCAGGTGGATGCTTTATCTTTTTCCCTTTGAATTCCACCCTAGGGTCTAGTGCAGATGAAAAGAGCCAAATTTGGCAAAGAATAGAAAGCATGAGAGAACAGGAGATGCAGAATACCTGGAGAACCTAAAAATTCTCTTGCCTGGTTAGAATATTACTTTCCAATAGCACTGAAGCCATCATGAAGCAATTGACAGGCAGCAGCAATGCCTGGTGTTGCAAAGTTCCCACCTTCCTGTTTCTCACTCTCATGTGTTTTTCTCTAAAGATTTATTTTAGAGGGTGCATATGTGCGTGAACATGCTTGTGGGGGGTGAAGGGGCAGAGGAAGGAGGACAGAATCTCAAGCAGACTCCTTACTGAGCGTGGAGCCGGATGCAGGGCTTGATCCCAGGACCCTGAAATCATGACCTGAGCTGAAACCAAGAGTTGGATGCTTAATCTACTGTGTCACCCAAGTGCCCCCAGCACCTGTTTTAGAGACCTGAAGGTCTGGGCAAACTCATGTTCCCTAGAGTAACTTTCCAGCAATTGCAAGGGTGATAGGGACAAAGGAGGCCATTATTTTTATATGCATATTATTTTTGAGGTATAATTGACACTATATGAGTATACAACACAATGATTCAATATTTGTATATATTGCAAAATGATGATCAGACTAAGTCTAGTTAACAACCAGCACCATATGTAGTTACATTTTTTTCCTTGTGAAATTTTAAGATTTAGTCTTAGCTACTTTCAAACACGTAATATGGTATTATCAACTATAACTGCCATGCCTTACATGAATCCCCATGACTTATTTTAGATCTAGAAATTTCTACCTTTTGGCCCCCTTCACACCTTACCCACCCACTAGTCTGTCCTTTGTATCTATGAGGTTTTTTTTGTTTGTTGTTTTAGATTTCACATAAAAGTGACGCCACATGGTATTTGTCCTCTGATTTATTTCACTTAGGATAATCTCCATAAGGTCCATCCATATGGTCACAAATGGCAACATTTTCTTTTACATGCGCGCGTGTGTGGGTGTGTGTACCATATTTCCTTTATCCATTTGCCCATCAATGGACACTTACGTTGTTTCCATATCTTGGCTCTTGTACATAATGCTGGAGTAAAGAGGGTGCATATACCTTTTCAAGTTAGTTTTTTACGTTTTCTTCAGATAAACCCCTAAAGGTGGAATTGGACAATTATATAGTTACTAATTTTTTGAAAAATATCCATACTGTTTTCCAAAGTGGCTGCACCATTATACATTGTCACCAACAATGCCCAAGTGTTCCCTTTTCTCCAGAACCTTACTAATTCTTTTTCCCCCCAAGATTTATTAATTTGAGGTGGGGAAGGGAGGGGGGGACAGAGGGAGAAGAGGGGGGAGAGAGAGCCTTAAGCAGATTCCCAGCTGAGTGCAGAGCATAAGTCAGGACTCAGTCTAATGACCCTGAGATCACGACCTGAGCTGAAACTGACTTGGATACTCAATGGACTGTACCACCCAGGTACCCCACCAACACTTACTTTTTGTCTTTCCAATAGTATTTGTGCTAATAGGAGTGAGGTGATACTTCCCTGTGGTTTTGGTTTCCACTTCCCTGCTGATTAATGATGTTGAGATTGTTTTCATGTATTTGATGGCCGTGGGTATATCTTCTGTGGAAAAACATCTATGCCATTCCTCTGCCCATTTTTAATTTTGTGTTTGTTGTTTTGTTACTGAGTTGTATGCACTCTTTATATGTTTTGGGTATTAGTCTCTTCTCAGATATGAGTTGCAAGTATTTTCTCCACTTCAGTAGGTTGCTTTTTCATTTTGTTGATAATGGCCTCTGCAGAAACTTTTTAATTTGATATATTCCCTCTTGTTTGTTTTTGCTTTTGTCGACTTTACTTTTGTGTCAAATCCAAAAAAAGCATCACGGTGAAGTTGGATTTACTGACTATATATTCTCCTGTATGTTAGGGTTTCAGGTCTTCCATTCAAGTCTTTAAGGCATTTTGAGTTTTTTTGTATACAGTGTATGACAGTGGCCCAGTTTTCCCAATAATATTTATTGAAGAAATTTTCTTACCCCATTGGAAGCTATTGGCTCTTTCATCATAAATTAATTGGCCATGTGTGTATGGATTTATTTCTGGGCTCCCTATTCTGTTCTACTGTCCTATGCATCTGATTTTATGCCAGTACCATACTGTTTCAATTACTATGGCTTTGTAATATAGTTGGAAACCAAGGAGCACACTGCCTCCAGCTTTGTTGTTCTTTCGCAAAACTGTTTTAGCTATTCAGCACCTTTTGTGCTTCTATACAAATTTTAAGGATATTTTTGTTCTGTTTCTGTGAAAAAATACAATTAGAAGAATCTGTATATTCCTTTGGGTAGAATGGACATTTTAATAATATCCTAATTCATGAGCATGGAATGTCTTTTTCCTGTGTATTTTCTTCAATTTCATTCATCAGTGTCCTATAGATTTCAGTGTTCAGGTCTTGTACCTCCTTGAATTTATTTCTAGGTATTCATTTTCATGCAATTGTGAAAGTGCTTATTTCCTTTTTGATATTTCATTATTAGTGTATAGAAATGCAAAAGATTTTTGCATCCTGTAATGTTACTGAATTCAGGTATTCACACTTTATTAGTGCAATCTTTAAGGATTTTCTCTTTCTACATATAATATGTCCTCTGCAAATAGTGACAGGTGTAGTATTTCCCTCCCAATTGGAGGCCTTTGATTTATTTTCCTTTCCTAACTGCTGTGGGTAGGATTTCTAATACTCTGTTAAGTAAT